TGAAAACTCAGGACCAGTTTGGAAGGATCTCTTGTGGTGTAGGAAACATTAATGCAGCATGCGACACCAGGAAAAGATGGGGCTGCTTGCCCAGAAGACAACAGCAGTACCTGTGCCTGATAGCTCCAGGGAATGGAAGCCTGGCCTCTCTTTGGCCTTGGCTAGAGGGGACTCCCTCCCTTGTGAAATTTATTTATTTATTTGAATGAGAGAGAGAGAGAGAGGAAATGAATGAACGAACAAACACTGCCATCCTCTAGTTGGCTCCCCAAATGCTTGCAGTGGCCAGGGAGCCAGTAAGTCAGCTCAGCTCTCCCATGTGGGAGGCAGGAACCCAGCTACTTGGCCATCACCTGCTGCCTCCCAGGTGCTACAGTAGCAGGAACCTGCAGCCAGAGCGGGGTATCGAACCCAGGCACATCGATATGGGGCATGGGCATCCTAACCGGCGTCTTAACCACTAGGGCAAATAGAAGAGAAAGGTCAGTGTGAGGCAAGAGGCCACCTTCCTCTCAGTTGGCAGTCAGGGAGAATGGTGTGGCCCAGCCCCAAAGACCAGCTACTCTGGAGCTTCGAGGCTGGAGGGTGCCCTTGCTAGTTCCTGTGTGTGCTTCATAAACACCAGACAGGTTGCTTTCCCTGCCTGGTTCCTCCCTCAAGTCTCTTGGTCTCTAAAACTGCCATTGGTCCCCCAAGTTCCTGCTGTGGGCCATTGTTCATTGAACCCATGATCTGACATGTGACCCCAAGTTCCTGTCTTTCTGGTGCAAGTTAACTTTAGTTCTTCCTTTCAGACAGAACAGAAAAGAAGGCAAGCCTTTGTTCTTGCCTGCCCTGCCCCTGCACCGTGCCCTGCTCCCGAGGCAGGCAAATGCTGCTGCTGTTGGGCTGAGCCGAGGGTCCTTCCTGGGAACTTGCGCTCTGAATCCTTTAGGAGAGCAAACCTCTTTTATGAAACTGGTCGCCTCTTCCCGATGTGTCCGTGTCGTGACCTAGGGGAAAGTTAAAGCAGCACCTCGGTGCAGATTCACAGAAACAAACATACAGGTGGGGCTGGGGCTGGTTTTAGTGTGGGTGAGAGGGCCTGAGCTGCGAGGTGCAGTGGGGAGGAGGCGAGCCCTCCGGGCCATGGTTGGTTGTGGGAGGTGAGTGGGGTCTGGAATGTCTGTTGGGAACAGGATGGGGTTGGTGATGCCTGTGTAGGGCTTGACCTTGGTCCTAAGCCAGCCGGACTTCTTCATGGCCTACATTTGCCTTGAACGCCTTTGGAGTGAGTTGGACTAAGAAGTGTGCCTGCAATGGTTGGAGCTGATCTGATCTAAAGTCAAGAACCAGGAGCTTCTTCCCGGTCTCCCATGTGGGTTCTGGGGCCGAAGCACTTGGGCCATCTTCCACAGAGAGGAGAGGCGGAGGCAGAGAGAGAGAGAGGTCTTCCATCTGCTGGTTCACTCCCCAATTGGCTGCAATAGCTGGAGCTGCGCTGATCCGAAGCCAGGAACCAGGAGCTTCCTCTGGGTCTCCCATGTGGTGTAGGGGCCTGAGGAGTTGGGCTATCTTGTACTAATTTCCCAGGCCATAGTAGAGAGCTGGATCGGAAGTGGAGCAGCCAGGTCTCGAACTGGTGCCCATAAGGAATGCCGGCACTGCAGGCGGCAGCCCTACCTGCCACACCACAGTGCTGGCCCCACCACAGCATGTATCTTAAAAGTAGAACCAACTTAGGAGCCTGGTGGGTTTGAATGTGAGCTAAGGGGGAAAGAGAGACTCGAGGTCTAGATTTTTCATAAGCAAATGAGTGGACAGAGGGTGATGCCAATCCAGGAGAAGGGGAAAGGGTCAGGAGACCAAGGCTCCATCTAGGGGTATTTAAAAAAATTATTTATTATTTAAAAAATTATTTATTTTACTTAAGAGGCAGAGAGAGTGAGAGACTTCCTATCTATCAGTTCACTCCCCAAGCACTAAGAAGCAGGGATCTTAAGCCAGGTCTCACGCATGAGAGGCGGGAACCCAGTTGTGTGGGCCATCACCTGCTGCTTCCCAGGGTGTGCGTTGTTAGCCGGGAGTTGGACTCAGATGCAGAGCTGGGGCTTCAACCCAGGGACTCAGATACGGATGCAGATGCCCCAAGCAGCATGTTAACTGCTGCACCAGACTGGGGGTGTGTTAGATTGAAATATCTTAGCTGTCTCCAGTGGACCAGTCAAGTCGACAGTGCAGTGTTTGTATGCTGAAGACCTGGGTTTGCAAGTGGGCCGTGTAGAGGTGTAGTTAAAGACAGGTGGGTCATGAGATCACCTGCAGGGCTCACAGGCGGGGCACAGGCCTGGAACTGGGCTTGTCAGGTTCGACGGAGAAGTGGCAGAGAGGGAGGAAGGCAGTCGTGAATGTGTGTGCAGTGTTCCTGGAGCTGGGTGTGTCGGTGAAGAGGTTGTAGGAGGGGGGAATGACCAACTGTGACCTATCCTCAGATGAGCTCATGTATGGTGAACAAAAAAACTTGAACTCCAGCTTTGGCGATAGGAAGTGAATCACTGGGGACTTTGAGTGGTAGGGAGGGCACCCACAGCCTGCAGGGGCTGTAACCAGTCATCTGCATGTGTGCTCACCTGTACCAGACATCTGGGGAGTGAGAGGACCTGGCCCTGACCCCATCAGGGAGAACAGAGACCTTAGCAACTCGTTGATTCAGTGGGAGGAAGGGCGGCAGGTCTGCATGGTGTGGCGGAAAGCCCAGGGAACTCTGCCTGCCTGGCTCAGCGCCGTGTGCAGTGCTCGGCACAGGCCTCACAGTCAGAGTGCACTCAGTGTTGCGGAGCCTCCTTCCCACGGCCTGGCATTTTGGTCTAGGCCCTTGCTGGGCCCCACTGTTCTTTGTGAAACAGAGCGGTTGGGTCCAGACAGTGCGTCCTTACTAGGGGTTCATAGACCATCGTGGGGCCCACCAGTGGGAATCTGTGGGCCCCCGAAGTTCTATGCAAACCATGAGACACTGCACGTTTTCTGAATCTGCAGCCTAAAGAGATCGCGACTCCCTAGCGTTTTCTCTAAGGGGCCTTTCCTTCCCACTCGAGCCACCTGGGGCTGGTATTGAATAAACAGACCGCGTAAAGCATGAGAATGCGCTGTGGAAGGCTGAGCGTCATGGAGAAACCTAGCCCTGCTATTAATGCTGAGACGCTGATGAATGGCAGCGAGGTACCAACCTGGCATGAAGTAGTAAACAGGAAAGTGGGTGGCAGCTCTGTTACAGACCATGTGTATTTCATTTTTAAAGATTTATTTATTGGGCCGATGCTGTGCTGTTGCAGGTAAAGTAGCCGCCTGCATTGCCGGCATCCCATATGGGTGCTGATTTGAGTCCCGGCTGCTCCACTTCCGATCTAGCTCCCTGCTATGGCCTGGGAAACCAGTGGAAGATGGCCCAAGTGCTTGGGCTCCTGCACACCTGCATGGAAGACCCAGAAGAAGCTCCTGGCTTCAGATTGGTGCAGCTCCGGCCATTGCAGCCATTTTGGGAGTGAACCAGCAGATGAAGACCTCCCTCCCTCCACCTCTCTGTAACTCTGCTTTTCAAATAAATAAATAAAGAGATCTTTTTTTTTTTAAGATTTATTTATTTATTTGAAAAGCAGAGTTACAGAGAAGCAGAGGCAGAAAGAGAGGGAGAGAGAGAGAGGTCTTCCATCTTCTGGCTCACTCCCCAAATGGCTGCAATGGCTGGAGCAGGGCTGATCTGAAACTTGGAGCCAGGAGCCTCTTCAGGTCTCCCAGGTGGGTGCAGAGGCCCAAGCACTTGGGCCATCTTGTGCTGCCTTCCCAGGCCAGAGCAGAGAGCTGGATAGGAAGTTGAGCAGCTGGGACACAAACCGGTGCCTATATGGGATGCTGGCACTGCAGGTGGCGGCTTTACTCGCTGTGCCACAGTGCTGGCCCGGAGAGAGGGATCTTTTCAATTGCTGATTCATTCCCCAATGCCTGCAACAGCCAGGGCTGGGCCAAGCCAAAGACAGGAGCTCAGAACTCCATCCAGGTCTCTTACATGGGTGGCAAGAACTTAAGTACTTGGGCTGTCATCTTCTGCCTTCCCAGGCACGTTAGCAGGCAGCTAGATTGGAAGTGGGAGAACCGGGACTCCAGATACTGTGATATGTGATGCAGGTGACCCAGGCAGAGCTTAGTCTGTGACCTGCTGCAGTCACAATGCCTGTCCCACCCTTTGTTTTATATGGATTCTCCCCCGCCTTCGCCTCTGGTTAGGAAGCTGTGTGATAGATTGGGATGACCCCTTTCACCTAGCCCCAGTGGGTTCCTGCAGGTAGGTAGTCCGGGCATGGGCCCCATCTCTTGAGTGAGCACATTGCTAGCGCAGGCCTATTTTAATTGGATAGCCAATGATGACCCAGCATTTCCTGAGCACACCTGTGTCCTATGCTGAACCCAGATGCCACTGGGAGGAGGAGGAGGAGGAGAGCCCTGACCAGCAAGTGGCCTGCGCAGCTGCTTGTCAGCATGTGGAGGCCTAAGGTGGGGGGAAGAATGGGCAGAGATGGTGCTGGGCTCTGCTGCCGCTGCGTGTGTCCCCCCCCTCCGCCATGCCCAGCCCTGTGCAGCACATTCTCGAGGCAGCCCTCACAAGGGCAGTGTCGTATGCACTGGACAGAGCACTGTGGTGAGCTGGGGGCTGCAGAAACAGGCATGGCCGGGTGGCTGTGACCTGGTCATCCCTGCCGGACAGGGTCGGCTCTGACATCTTCACCTTTGCTCCCCGGGACATGGGCCTCTGTTGAATGGGTTCAAGTGGGCATTTGGGGAAGGTGAGTACAGGTCAGCTGCAGAGCTCTGTGTCCCTTTTTTGGGTAGAGCCTCTGTGGTCTGCAGGGGTCGAGTACCGCCTGGGGCAGGAGCCAAGCACATCCCTGACCAGCAGTACGGACTCAACTGTAGGAGGCGCTGGTGTGGTGCCCGGTTCTGACTACCCCTTTTCTCTCCCTGCTTAGTTGGCCGGAGTCGTCTTCCTTGGAGTCGGGCTGTGGGCATGGAGCGAAAAGGTAGGTGTGTCCCCATGGCTGTTTGTGGCAGGCAGCCTGCCCCAGGAGCACTCACCGGCATTGTCCCCCTCCAGGGGGCACATTCCTTATGCCTTGTGCCGTGTAAGGCTGGGTAGCCATTAATCGCCACAGAACCAGCGCTGAGACCGGCTCTGCTCTCTGGTGGCAGGGCCAGCTGCTGGTACCCAAGACTGGACCTGCTGGGGTCGGGGACTTTTAGGCTCCCCGAGTGTGGAGAGCCGTTGCTCTGTCCTGGCGGCCCCATGTCACCATGTGTCACCCCAGGGCTTGTCTGCAGTGATGCTAGGCAGGCCTGGGGCTGACTTCCTACCCTGCTGTGGTAGTGGAGTGAGCGAGCGGGCCCCTGGACACAGGCACATGTGTGCATTTGTGAAGTGCGTGTGTGGGCCCAGAAGGAGCCCCTGTGTGGGGCATGTCTTTTTTTTTTTTTTTTTTGGCAGGCAGAGTGGACAGTAAGAGACAGAGAGAAAGGTCTTCCTTTGCCGTTGGTTCACCCTCCAATGGCCGCCGCGGCCGGCGCGCTACAGCCGGCGCACCGCGCTGATCCGATGGCAGGAGCCAGGTACTTATCCTGGTCTCCCATGGGGTGCAGGGCCCAAACACTTGGGCCATCCTCCACTGCACTCCCTGGCCACAGCAGAGAGCTGGCCTAGAAGAGGGGCAACCGGGACAGAATCCGGCGCCCCGACTGGGACTAGAACCTGGTGTGCTGGCGCCGCAAGGCAGAGGAGTAGCTTAGCCTCGGCACCGGCCGTGGGGCATGTCTTTACACAACCGTAGAGGGGGCGAGGAGGGAGACCAGGCCCTCACTGTCCCCAGTATGGGGCTGTTGGCACTGCAGGGAGGGGACTAGTCTGGCTGGAAAGGGCCCTCCCTGACTGTGGGCGGGAACCAGGGATGTAGGAGGAAGAGTGGGACAGTGGCAGCTGCAGAAAGAGCCAGGAAGAGCAGGTCGGGGGAACCGCAGTGGGAAGGGAAGTTTCCTCAGGAGCTCAGGCCCAGGGCCAACTGTCTGCCTTTGCTTCAGGAGCACTTAGGTCTGCAGGCTTTGGGAGGTGGGTAAGGCCCGCCTTCCTGTTTGTGCACCTTCAGTGGCCTGTAAACCCCTAAATGTCCCTTTGCCCCAGTGACCAGCAAAGAGGTGCAATCCATAACCCGCAACACCACCGTGTGGCCGCCTGCAGGACTGCAGCAGCCTGATAGGCAAAGCCGGGATTGTGGCTACCCTGCTGCCCAGCCTGAGGCTGAGCTGGGCTGGGCACCTGGTCCAGCTGCACTTTTGTCCTTCCTCCTGTGACTTCTGCCACTAGTCACATGTGACTGTTTGTTTACATCTAAATTAGAGAAAAGGAAACGGGTTGAAATTCAGTTTAGGATCCCTAGCCATGTTCCAGATATCTGACAGCACACAGGGTCAGCGGCTGCCATCTGGGCTGGTGCAGCCCAGGACACCTCCCTCATGACAGAGTTCCAGGGGCAGGCGCGTCTCTACCCTCGGTGCCTTTTCCACAGGAACAGTCAGATTGAGGCTTTTTCCTCACAGCAGTGTGAGGTGCGCAGCTGGGGGCTAACCTGCTCAGCCACCCAGGAGGCCAGCTTGGTCCGGGGTGCCCTGTGGCCCCGGGCCTGGCTCAGGCACTCTGCAGGCCTCAGAAGAAACCTGGGGGCTGCTGGGCAGAGGGACCTCCGGGGCGGGCAGGGCCTGGCTTGTAAGTTGAGAGGACTGAGCCGTGGAAGATAGGGCCCTGTCCTCTGCTGGGGTCACAGCCCAGGCCGCAGGGCCACCCTGACTGCTCTGCCTTCTCTGCCTCTCTCAGGGTGTGCTGTCCGACCTCACCAAGGTGACCCGGCTGCATGGAATCGACCCGGTGGTGCTGGTCCTGATGGTGGGCGTGGTGATGTTCACGCTGGGGTTCGCCGGCTGCGTGGGGGCCCTGCGGGAGAACATCTGCCTGCTCAAGTTTGTGAGTGCCTGGGGGGTGGGCCCGGGCACGGGCAGGCTCCCAGGTTGTCTGCTAGCCACTCCTGCCCTCTCTGTTGTCCTGTAGAAGAGTGAGGCTCTAGGAAAAAAACCGCCTCAGGAGGAGCGGCCCCTCTGGGTTTCTGCCCGAATTGGGAGGAGCTGGCGATGGGCAGGCCAGCTCCACTCCTCTCCTTGGCCTTTTATCTTCACTCAGAAGTTCTACAGGAATTGTTTGTTTGCTCCTTACCTTTGCCCTTCCTGGCTGAGATCAAAGGATGGTGCCGGTAACATTAAGAAATCATTTCCCTCCTCCAGGGAGTGCGAATCTGTTGGGTGTGCAACACAGAATCCTTAATTTGCTGGCACAACTGTGAGGTTGCTAAGAGTTTGGCCGTATATTTAGATACAAATTCATTTTTAAATTCATCCAGTTAAAAATTTAAATAGTACCCGATGGAGAAAAGATATTCTCACTTTTTGCGACATATTATTTGTTGAATTTGTTAAATCAGGCTTTTTTTTCCCCTAGACTTAATTTAAAAATCAAAGCACATGGTTTTTTTTTTTTTTTTCCTTTTTTTTTTCTTCAAATATGTTTGGCTTCTTGCTTCTGTGTGCACAGAGACTGCATTCTGGAGGGGTGTGTGTGTGTGTGTATATGTAGTTCCCCTCTGTCTTTGAAGGGTTGTGTCCAAGCTGGTCTTATATGGACAGTGATAAGGACTGTGAGGCCTGAGCCAGCCGCGGTGGGAGGGGGCTGTGGACCCTTGCAGAATGCTGCTGCTGTTTGTGGCCAGGGCAGCCGTGCTTCGGCAGAGGTCCTTATGCGGCTGGCTGTCCTATACTCAACACGCAGAGAGGGTGTTGACTGGTCACAGTGACAGCTCCTGGATTGCAGGGAGCATGAGTAGCTTGACCTTAGGCAAACCCTGTGGTAGAGTGAGGGCCTTGTGTGTGTGGGGAGTGGCCAGTTGGTACCTGGAGCCCTGGCTCTGTTTGAAAGGAGCTGACAGCCTCTGGCAGTAGAACTCACTCTCACCACAAGATCTACTTCCTGTCGGGGAACAAGGGCAGCTGTGGAGAAATGATTGGCACATTGGCTTGGGCCCTTCTTGTGCCTTTTCACGCATTTAACCATTACCAAAGAGGTGGAGTGAGTACCAAGGGGAGGGATGTACAGCCCCACTGTGCAGTCAGTGTGAGGTTGTCTCGGCTCAGGCCGTGGGGCTCCCAGGGCCTGTCCCTGGGGTGCAGAGTCCCTGTCCTTTGCAGCAGGCAGTGGTTCCAGGTCAGATGGGGATGCGGGTGGCCAGGTGGTCTGTGGTGACTCTGCCCCCATCTGCATCCCCATGCAGTTCTGCGGTGCCATCGTGCTCATCTTCTTCCTGGAGCTGGCCGTGGCTGTGCTGGCCTTCCTGTTCCAGGACTGGGTGAGAGACCGCTTCCGGGAATTCTTTGAGAGCAACATCAGGTCCTACCGGGACGACATAGACCTGCAGAACCTCATCGACTCCCTCCAGAAAGCAGTAAGCGCTGCTGTGGGGGGGGCGCCCTGGTAGAGCCGCCACTCTCCTGCCTTCGTTCTATCTATCCCTGCTGCTCCCATGCCAAGGCTGGCAGCTAGTGACCTCGCCGCCTCCACCTCTGCTCGGTCAGCCTTGCTCGCCGGCTTGTGGTTGGTTACCTGGTGGTCCAGTTGCACCCGTGGCCTCCATCCCCGGGGGCTCAGCCTCCTGCCCTGCTGGGGCCCAGATCTCCAGTCCTGCCCTTTAGCCACAACAGCAGCCACAGACCTCCCTGAGACCTCGGGCGCTTGCTGCGAGGCTCGTGACTCACTGTCTGAGGCTATTCCTGTCTTCTTCCTCCCCAGAACCTTTTCCTCTTCCTGTTTGAGAAGGGCAGAGCTGCCTGGAGGAGGCATCCTGGGGTGGAGGGCCACGTCAGCTCCCTGGAATCAGTCCCTGGGGGCTTGTCCTAGCAGTCCCAGGCTGTGGCCTTTACTGTGTCTGGCCCCTAGCTGCCTTGTGTGCTGCCGCGCCTGGGGGCTTAGAACGTAGCCCCTGGGAGGAGCCCCCTCCCTGGCCAGCTTGGCCTGGGCAAGGCCCCTGTTTGATCTGTGCTCAGCCAGAGTGCCCAGCTTCCTCAAGGGGTTTTATATGGAACGCTTGGGTTAGGAGAAGAAAATAAATTAGAAACACTCTAAATAACGCTTACTGTTACAATAATATTGCTTACTGTTATTTCCAACACCCACCCATGTGACTAAAGGTCCTACCATACTGACCTCTGCTAGTATGTGAAGGCCACCAAATCCCAGGCTTTTATATCTCATTCTCAAAGATAGATTTATTTAGTTGAAAGGCAGAGTTGCTGAAAGAGAGAGAGAGAGATCTTCTATTCACTGATTCACTCCCCAAGTGGCCACAACAGCCCCTGCTGTGCCAGACCAAAGCCAGGAGCCTGGAACTCTATCTGTGTCTTCCAAATGGGTGGCAGGGACCCAAGCACTTGGGCCAACCTCCTCTGCTTTTCCAAACACATTAGGAGGGAGCGGGGTTGGAAGTAGAGCAATTGGGACTTGAACTGGCACCCATATGGGATGCCAACATCACAGACAGTGGTGGCTTAACCCACCATGCCACAGCGCTGGCCTCAGCAGCCTCTTCTGCTGCCCCTCTGTGTGCCTTTCCTGTCCAGTGCCTCAGCTTTCTCCTTGTCTCATAGTCTCGGGCTTGCCTGTGTCCGTGAGGGCGCGTCCTCCCTGAATTGCCTTAAAGATGTTGTCATTTTTTTCTCCATTGCCTTCATTTCCTTTTCAAAATAAAAATGTGCACAGAGGTTCAGTACACTGTGGGTCTTCTTGGGGTGAAACGTTAAGTCGGCATTGCAGCAGCTAGAACAGTTTAGGGATGAAGGTGAGGTTTACCCTGATGTGAAAAGGAAAGAGAAAAATGGGCCAAAGCCCCTAGCAGGCCGAGAGGGACCAGAACCTAGCATGCTGTGCCCTGGGTGAGCCAGGGCACTGTGAGTCGGCTTGTGTGCAGCATGGAGGAGCCGCCCTGGGCTGTCATTGCCTTCTTAAAGGGCTACCTGGGTGGGCTTGCACAGAGCTTCTGGCTGTATGGGAAATGAGGTAGCTGGAGGGCTTCAATTTCTCTGTGTGTTAGAAGCAGGTACTCTTACCTCTGGATCACCAAGCCTGAGACTCAGGGCTGGGTGTCCTAGCCTGGCTTGGAGTCCCTGACAGTTCCCCACTTTTGTGACCATAGAACCAGTGCTGCGGGGCATACGGCCCTGAAGACTGGGACCTCAACGTCTACTTCAACTGCAGCGGCGCCAGCTATAGCCGGGAGAAGTGCGGGGTGCCCTTCTCTTGCTGCGTGCCGGACCCAGCGGTGAGTCACCTATGCCACATGCAGCGAGCGCTGTCCCTCCTGCCCACAGCCCTGGGCTGCAGGGCTGCCTCCCTCCTCTGTGTAGACTCTCTCCACGCCCTGTCCCTGGGATTGTGAGCTCCAGGACAGGTCCTACTTGACCCACGTGTGCCCTAATGTTCTGGGCAAGGCAGGGAAGACTGTATTGTCCCTCCCTTGGGGGCTGTCACTAGGGCCGCTGCACAAGATGTGGTGAATGTAGTGAGCCCCGCCGTGCCCTCTCCACACCCTTGCTGTGGAGGAAGTACCCTCTGCTCAGCGGCCCCTGGGGCCCTGGGAGTGCACCTCGCTCTCCGGGGGACACAGCCTCAGCAGTGGGGAGTTACTGTCTGTTCTTCACCTGCTTTCATTCCCAGTTCAAGCCCCGGTTCCTGGGTTCCAGAAATTGTGAAGGGGCCCTGAGTTCTGCCTGAGCAGCTCTCGGTGCAGTTATGCATGTGTTATGTCCTGCGACTGGGCAGGCCGGGAGCGGGCAGGGCCGCCATCCCCTAGCGGCTAGCCTTGCTCACATGGCGCAGCTGGTGACTGGGACACACACTGGCTCAGTCCACACTGCTTTCGGCAAGCGTAGCTGTCACCTCCCAGCGCTGGGGCTGGTGGACCATGCGTGGCCTGGGGGGCAAACGTGGTTTGCTGTGTCTGTGTGACCCATGAGCCATGAATGCCTTCAGCTATTTGGAAGAGATTGAGAACAGATCAAAACAAGTATTATATTTTGTGAAAGTGAAAGTTAAGTGACATTCAAATTTCCACGACTACTAAGTTTTGCAATTCAGCCCTGCTCATTTGTTTACGCGTTGTCCAGTTTGCTCTAGAGGTTGCCCTTGAGACCGCTTGTGAGATATTTCCCATCTAGCTCTTCCTGTCCTAGCCTGGGAGGTCGGCTGGCAGTGTGGCTGAGGGACGAGAGCTGGTGTAGATTGTGACATTCCTAGAGCTGCCTACTGAGGGGACCAAGGTGACTCATGTTTTATGCTTTCCTTACAGCAAAAAGTTGTGAACACGCAGTGTGGATATGATGTCAGGATTCAGGTAAGAGCCCCAATACCTACAACTTGAAGGATTCACAAGGTTAACAGTCCTTTGAGTTCCATTCCCTATGGTCTAACTTTCAGGTTTAGGGCAAGTTCTAACTGGGCTGGTGGGCTAGCGGGGAGATGTAGCCCCAAGGCGTAGTCTGAGCTGGGGGCGAGCTGGGCAGGGCCAGGGCGCCAGGCACACCTGCTTCCTGAGCTGGCTGCAAGGCCCCCAGGACCAGTGTGGGGTGGGGGGTTTCAAGCCCTGTGAGCTGCAGTCACTGTGTGAAGCATCTGGGGTGGACGTTTTAGAGAATAAAGACTGCGTTTTTAAGTCTCCCTCAGCGTCAGAAGGTGGTCTGTGAGCTATAAGGGGGCTTAGGGTGAAGCTGCAGGGGTGTGTGGCCTGCTCCAGCCTTCACATGGAGGTGGTGTAACTGGAGAGAGATGGGCCTGGGGTGGGCCTCAGTGCGGGGGACGCGTGCTCGGACGTGAAGACAGGCAGGACACAGCCTCCTTCGCATCCACTCCAGGGCTGGCTCTGTTGACCTTTGGGGATATGGTGACTTCCATTCTGAAAGGGAGGGATTTCGGGACTCCATGTTAGCCACGGACACTGGGGCTGTTTACCTACTGGGTCCCCTCCAAGTTCGTGTCTAAGCCTGAGAGGGGAGCAGGTTGTGAGTACAGCACCCTCTTGTGGGGGACTGGGGAGCTGCTTGGCCCCTTCCCCTGTGTGAGGGCCCGGATGGAAGGAAGATGCCAGCTGTGAGCAGGGACGCAGGTCAGCAGCAGGCACCAAATCTGCCAGCACTTTGATCCCCGACCCCCTGGCCTCCAGAACTGTGAGAGAAACTAAGCCCCCAGACTTGGGCAAGGATCTGTGCCAACGTCAGCTCCCCTGTTTTCTCGTGGCTCTGGAGGCTACAAGTCAGATTAAGGCGTGGGCAGGGCTGGCTGCTTCTGAGAGCTGGGAGGGAGGCTCTGTTCCGGGCCTCTCTCCTTGGCCTGCAGACAGCGTCTTCCCCCGTTCTGACACGTACCTGTGTACGTGTGTGTGTCCTCATCGTCTGCTCAGAGAAGAGTGCTAGTCTTGTTGGCTTAGGGCCTGTCCTAGCAACCTCATTTTGGTTTAGTCAGGTCTCTAAAGACCGTCTCCAGACACAGTCCCGTTTTGAGGCATTGGGGATCAGGAGTCCAGCACATGAACCTGTAGGAGACACAGTCCAGTTTCTGACACCACTAAAACGAGTTAATGTTCCATCAGCGTTGCCCTGGAGGAGGCCGATAGCTGAGGGGGCCGGGCTGGCTGCGGTACGTGGGTGGCTGAGGGTGCTGGGGGGTGGGGGCTGGTGGAATGAGATCCCCGGCCTTGCAGCTGCCTGGCTGATGACCGTGCCCGCTGGCCGTGTCTCCTGGAGCCAGGCTTCCCTGAGAGGCCGCACCCCCTCCTTTCTCCTGCTGGCTGTGACTCAGAAGACTCCGAGCCCTCTCCCGTCTGCTCCTTTAAAGGCACATCCTTCTCCTGCAAGCTCTCCAGTCCCTCCTGCTCCCCAGTGTAGACTGGGGCTGTACCGAGCGAGCTGACCTCTGACTCTATGGAGGCCTGAACAGAAAGGGGTTCCAGGTCCAAGCAGGGAGCCTCTGCTGTCAGGTGACCAGAGAGATGTGCATTCCTGGACAGCTGTCTGCCCGCCCCACCCCCGCACCTGCGCAGGCCCCTCCATCCTCTGCACTGTGCTGCCCCTGCTGGAGCTCTCCAGGGGACCAGGGTGGGGGCGCGGCGTGTGCCGCAGCACAGGCCACTCTGCTGTCTCCCTGCAGCTGAAGAGCAAGTGGGACGAGTCTATCTTCACGAAAGGCTGCATCCAGGCGCTGGAGGGCTGGCTCCCACGGAATATTTACATCGTGGCCGGCGTATTCATCGCCATCTCCCTGTTACAGGTGCGTTCCGGGAACGTGGAGGGCGGGCGGGTGACCTTGCTTCATTTGAGGGAGTTGGGCCTTTGACATAGAATGCTTGACTGGCTTGGGCATAATACTAGGGAACTGGCCTGAGAAGGGCAGCCGGTTGGATGTCATTGGTGAGAATATGTGTGCTGGGAAAAGAGTGTGTTGGGCCTGGGCCCGGATAGGCCATGATTCCTATCTCCCCATGATCTGTCACCTGGAAAGGCCCCCTGGGCGGGGTGGCGGGGGGAGGCCGAGCCTGTGTAGGTCCCGTCGGCAGCCCGCTGGCAGGCTGCAGAGGGCTGCGGTTCCTGTCTGCAGGTGAGGGCTGTGGTGTACTCTGTCTGGGCCGTCACCTGCCATGGCGTCCTCCTTGCCAGGGGCGGCAGTGGTGGGGTCTCAGGAGGCCCTGAGATCAGGAGTGGGAGGTAGACTGGACGAAGGCCTGGGCTCAGTGTGTGGGGTCGCCTGGCACTCTTCGCCCGTCCCTCGCCTGTCCCATGTGCTTGTCTTTCCATCCACATGGCCCTCTGCCCTGTGTGGCCTCCTTTTCCCAAAGATGCCGTCTGCGTTTGAGCTGGGCGACACCCATGGGAGAAAGTCACGGCTGAGCAGGGTGGCTGGGCTGGCGCGCGTCTGCCGGGAGAACTGGTGGACGAAGTGAAGAACTCGTGATGTCACGAGCCGGGAGTTTTCCCAAAACTGCCTGAGGCCTGTGGGGAGAGGTTGGCGGCCGCTGAGCATCTGTTCTTCTGTGGAAAGCACCCTGTTCTGGAAGCGTATGGCTCTGACCTGGCCTTAGGGAGGGTGACTCAGGTGGGCCCAGGGCCGCAGCCACCAGCCCACACCTTCCTCCTCACGGAGCAGACGCTTGTGGAGTGGTGGCAGAGGAAGACTGAGGGCTGGAAGCCTGTGAGGGAGAAAAGAAGCGAGGGTGCGGGAAGCAGGCTGGGAGAGGCTGGCTCGTCAGCAACACCACGAGAACCGACAGGGAAAAAGCACATTTCCAAAGGTCACCAAGTTCACGTCCACCCAAGCCAGAAAAGCACCAGTGTCCTGCATGATTCCCCTGTTGGCCACGTGCAGCGTGTAGCTTCCGACGTCAGGACGGCCAGCATCCGGGCCAGCATTAGTCCATTGTGGAATCCGGGTTCACGGAAAGCATTCAAGATGTATTGTTTTGGGAACCAGCGGGGTGACCGGGTTACATTTGGTTTAACCTGGGGTCAGAGCATGTCCCAGCCTGTGGTAGAGGCAGGGCAGGGTGTCTGTTTTGCCGCAACGAGTCTCTAAGGATACAGGGAACCATACCCTAGACTCAGTTTACATCTGTGGCCTCCCGTGCCCTGCCTTGGCCCTAGCATCACTGTGTCTGCCTCTTCAGCCTCAGTAGGGCAGCGAGGGGCACAGTGCAGTGGAGGGGGGGTCCCGCTGCCCTTGCCATTGACCCTGATGCTGGTGGCCACTGACCCTGTTGGCTTTGCTTTCAGATATTCGGCATCTTCCTGGCAAGGACCCTGATCTCAGACATCGAGGCGGTGAAGGCGGGCCATCACTTCTGAGGAGCGGAGGCGACGAGCAGAGCTGAGCCATGTGATGGAGGCCAGAGCCTGTCCCTGGCGGCCCCCTGTGGTCCGGGGGGAGAAGCCAACACCCAGCCCTGTCTTCTGCATCAGTGCCACATGACCTCCCCGTTTCTGCTCCCTGGTGCTGAAGACCAGTGACCCTTTTCACCTGCCGGGACCTGTGACTGCGTCCCCTCCTGGGTCTACCCAGGGACAGAGACTGTGTCTTTACGTGGGAGTGGTGACTCTGAGGGGCAGGCGGGACCCTCCTGGCTGTGAAGGAACCAAGCCCATCTGCACTACCCCCTGCCACCTCACCACAGGCTTTGGGTCACTGGCACTGGCCAGGAGGGACGTGGGGTGGGCACCAGCAGGTTGAGGCCAAGGCTTCTCTCCCCAGCAGGTCGAGGAGCATAGGGGCCTGCCCGTAACTGGGGAGGGGGAGATCCGAGTGTGCACATGTCGGGGGTTGTTTGCAGAATTCTCAACCATGTCCACGAGCAGTGAGCCTGAGCCCATGCAGGCCCTGAGGCCCTGGGAGTGCCTCGTTGGCTGCCCCTCCAGGCCTTGCAGCTGCTCTCCCAGGGCCGGGACCTGCCTCTGGCCTCAACTGCATTAAGCCCTAGTGGCGCTGGGTTCGGGGCAGCGGGCCTAGCCTCTGCAGAGAGCCGGCTCTCCTTTTCTTAAGATGTGTAAATAGGTTATTTATAGGGGTAAGGATGTTTTCACACCGTTTCTTCATTTCTTCTCCCTTTTCTCCGGTCTTCTCCTCTCAGCAGCCTTACACGGTGTCCCAGACATAAGCTGTCCCTTTTGGTTCCCTTGAGTGTGTCAAGAGCTGAGGCAGCCTCCCCGCCCCCATCCCTCGTGCCCACACACACGTCCCCATCTTCTGTGCACCACATAGTGCACTGCCACTCCCCGGCTGGGCCTCACTCTCTTCTGGTCTTGGTGCTACTGAAACTGTCACCCAGAACTTGAAACCTGACCCTCTCCCTGCCACTGACAGGCCAGGGAGCCCAGGCCCGAGAGGGAGCCAGCCTGAGACTTTTTGACCCGGGCTCCTAAATGGCCACGCACCCGTCAAAGGCCAGCCGGCCGGCCTGCCGTTCCCCTTGTCCCGGAGGGAGATGGGCTGTCCCATGGCCGGTCCCAGGCTGAGCCCCGGCCCCCAGGCTGCGGCTGCTGGGGAGCTCTGGGCGTTTTGTTTCTCCTTTGGGTGGTGACTCTGCACGCTGGTGTATTGGTGGTCACTGTGTCTGCCGCCCTGTCAGGGCTCTTCTGGGGCTTGCTCTTAGAATGAAGTTTGTCTTACACAGCAAATAACACCCCACCCCCCACCCCGGGGTGGGGTAGCCCGGGGCACGTGTGCACCTGTTGGCTACTTGCTGCCGCTTCTCTGTAGCTTGTGCCAGTTCTGTCCTCCTTGTTCAGGGATCGTGTGCTACCTTCAGTCCTTGCCGAAGCGAATGTTCTGTGCGGTGTACGCTGGGGTGTCTGCAGAGGATGCTGGTGGTATAATTCTATTTTTTTTTTTTTTTTTTTTTACAATTCTCTGTAGACTAGGGGCAGAAGAATGCTTGTGTTTTTAGGAAGCGTGATGCTTCTCTTTGACTGCCAAACTCTTTTATGGAATATATCTTTGTATTAAGGCTGCTGTTGGGTCGTTTTTTTTTTTTTTTCTTTTTTGTCTGGGGTCACTCACAAAATGGCGTTGAGCATCTCAGTGGTGAATTCCGCCGCCAGGGGAACCAGAGGATCGGGCATGACCACACCTTACGGGAGGTTAGGTGGGGAAGGGGTAGGGCGGCCGCCGCCGGCACAATCAGATATAAATTTCATCCTGTGATTTTTCTTTTTTTTCTTTCTAAGAGTCTGTGTGGCACCACATTGGATTGTCCTGCCTGTGCAGGCTGCCAACTAGAACAGGTTGGCTATGACTTCGCTCCCCCTAGCTGTCCTCGCTGTTGGCAGCGCTTTGATTCCACAGGCCTGGTGTCAACATCATGTTAGATTATCTCCATCGGGCCCTGGGCAATCCTGTTGGTACAATCAAAACAGCAAGGGGATGAAGTGTTGGTGTCTGGGCACTGTGGCTATGCAAGCAGCGTCCTGGACTTGCCAGCCTGGCTACTAGGGGTATAGTGGCAGTGCCTGCCTCACCTGTGCCTCTGACCCAACCTGCCCTGGAGCAGGAGGTGGTGGCTGTGCACTGGTCCCAGGAGCTTCCGGGCGGTCCCTGCTGCCCAAGCTATTCCCGTGAACCGGCAGCTGGACCTTGAGCCTCTGCCGGGTCACACCGCCCAGCCCAGCCCAAAAGCTGCCCACGATGGTTTCAGGGTTGGGTTTGTTCTTCAGTGAGTTCACAAAGCTTTATGGCCTTTTTTTGGCCATGTCATCTGACTCTGAGTTGTTGAACGAGAGAAGAAACCAAGGATGAGAACCGAGGATGAGAGCGGCACTTGTGGGAGTCCCTAGCAGACCTGAGCGCCCCCCTGCTCAGAAGCGCAGATGCCCAGTGCTGGCCTGCCTGCGTCCCCACTGCCCCTGTCCTGTGGGAATCGGGACCGAGGCCAGCAGGCGGCCTCTGCTTATCCTCCCTTAGAGCCCTGTCCATGCCCACTCTCAGGTCACAGGATCTCTCCTGTCCTCTGTCCTTCCTGTCCCCTCCTCGGGACTTCCCTGTGTTGCTCTCCCCATTGCCTCTTCCTTTCTCTTCCTGAAAAACTGCTGTGGCCCCATTGCCTGCCTCCTGTTCTGTCCACCACTCACCTCCCAGCTCTCAGACCCACAGCCTCTCTCGGGCCCGGTAGTGCCTGTCACTCTGGGTCACCCCATCCTTAAAACACTCTGCTTCTGGGGCCCACACTCAGCCCGTCTCAGACTCGGACCCTCTCCCGCGTGTCCTCCTTAGGCCCAGCCGCGAGTGTGACGGGCGGGGCTATGGTCTGGGCAGGAAACCTGTGTGCTCTTCTTGAGAAGCCTGGCCCACGTCACCCCACGTGAACTGTACAGCTTCGCGGATGCGGCACTTTCCGGGAGCACAGGAAGTGCTCAGAGCAAAGAGCTAATAAAGTCTTTCAGTCGCCAGCCATTCCCATACCCCAAAACCTGAGGCTGTGAGGACGGTAAGTTGCTGTCTGGGATTTGGAAGGTCTGGGTCCACACACTGGAAGCTTTGCCCCGTGGAAGCCTGGGTGCGGGCTCCCCCGCCCCCCAGCATTCTGAATCTAAATGGACTCTAAATGTCAGCTGCTAGCAAAACCAGCCCAGAAGGCGCGCCTGAGCATAGCCATTTCCTGAAGGACATGCTGTCTCACTGGGCTCAGTGGCCACCAACAGGCATTTTGAGAAAATGGGAGGGCGCTGGTGACCCCTGCCCCTGCCTCTGTTCTGCATCTGGATTTGGGTGCCCAGTCTGGTTTTAGGGACCTGTGAGGAAGCTTGCTGTTGCCTGCAAGGAGCAGAGGCCATGGTCTGGGGCAGCGGGCTTGCCTAACTGCTGGGCCAGAGCTGCCAGCAGCAGACTGGTCCTGGCTTTGTCTCCTATGACGAGGTTGCTGGGGAGGGCCAGAGCTGCAGAGCTTGCTGCTAGGCAGTGGGATTGGACACAGCCTTCCCTCAAGGCGAAACGTAGCACAGGCCACTGGGACGGACGGTGACACTGGACGGCTTCCCTGCAGAGGAGGGAGGGCCTCCAAGGCTTTTGTTGTTAGGATCTATGATGTGAAAGATTGACAGAAATCTTCCACCTGCTGGTTCACCCCTCAAATGCCAGTAATAGCAAGGTCTGGGCCAGGCTGAAGCCAGGAACCAGGAACTGCAGGAACTGCATCTGGGTCTCCCTCATGGGTAGCAGGGGCCCAAGCACTTGGGCCGCTCTCCGCTGCCTTCCCTGGCATATTAGCAGGGAGCTAGGTCAGAAGTGGAGCAGCTGGGATTCGAACTGGCTGTCAGAAGCTGGTGTTCCACGTGGCAGCTTAACCCGCTACTCCACAATGCTGCCCCCCCCCCCCCCATGCTGATGGCTTCTAGACCAGCAGCCTCAGAGGCTCATGGGTTACAGAGGTGCAAGAAAGGGGGAGGGACAGAGCACTGAGGTCTCTACCTGAAGGCATCCTGCTGTCAGGGGAGGGACCCCCCCCAGGTGCCTGGTGTGTCATCCCTGTCCCCTGTTGGTGGGGAGCCTTTACCTGTACTAGGGGAGGGGGCTGCTGTATGACTTCATGGGTCTAGGGTCACTCATAAGATGGGATTTGTTACCCAGGTCCTCGATTTTCAGATGGTCTGCCCCTGGGACTGTGGGAATCCACCCTCCATGGGTACTGGGTCATGGTGCTCGCTGTGCTGCATCTGCTGCCATGCCCGGCAGGCCCAGGACAGCCTGGGCTTCTGCAGTATGGTTCCTGTCCCTGTCCCCGTCCCCGTCCCCCTGCCTTGCTCTCTCCAAAGACCCAGACAACCGCTCCCCTTGAGGGCCTTTTGAGCGCTTTGTAAAGAGCAAGACCTGGCCTCCATCCTCACTGGCTGCATCGAAGGTGTGTTCCTTCTCTGCATGCTTTTGGGGTCTGCAGGGTGCTCAGGAAAATGTCTAGAACTGGGGCTGCCATGCAACTTGGGGAGGAAGAAACAGAGTGAAGGGTACCCTGGGGGTGGGCCTGTTCTACCTGCAGCAGGGACCCCAGCTTGGAGAAGCAGGAGGAGAGTGTTCTTACAGAGGTTCAAGATAACTATTTCTTCCTTTTTCTCTTTTTGATTTACTTTACTTGAAAGAGTTACAGAGAGAGAGAATGAGAGAGTTTTTCCATCTACTGGCTCACTCCCCAGATGACCACTCTACTGCCTGGGTTGGGCCGTGCCAAAGCTGGGAGTTTCATCTGGTCTCTCATGTACGTGGGTCATCTTCCGTTGCTTTCCCAGGAAGCTGGATAAGAAGTGGAGCATCTGGGTCTTGAACCAGTTCCCATGTGGGATGCCTGCCCATGTTGCAGGTGGCGGTTTAACTCACCTGGCCATAGCACCAGCCCCCCAAGATAACTGCTTCCCTGCTTCCCTGTAGCAGCTTTCTTCCTGTGTTCTGCATCTTGTATTCCAGCAGGGGCTTCAAAAGCATGGTGTCATGACAAACAAGAAATACGTGATCATCTTAGACTTTATTTTTATCATCTCAACTTTGAGCTAAAATTTTATATATATATATATATAAATATATAAATTAAAACAATCTAAACATAGCACAGTGGGAAGTACCCTTCCAGGGAAGGCCTCTGCACACAAAGAGGGATCGGTTTACATGGGGTTCTGTGCATGGCCATGGTAGGACCTTGCTGTTATAGCAGGGGGCGTGGTTTACCACCACAGAAAACCCAGTCAAACTGGCCTCAACAATGAGGGGAGGGCCTTGGCTCCTGAAACTGGAAAGTCCAGAGGCGGGTGAGTTTCAGGGTTGGTTTGGTCCAAGTAAGTGGCTCAATGACTTCAGCTGGATCTGGTTTCCTTTTGTCTCTGCGCTGGCGTCCACTGTGTCGCATCTGAGGCCACGGGAGGGACGACACTGCCACAGTGGGGCCTCACGGTGGCCATTGTGTGGGGGGGTGTGCTCCAGGATGTATTGCTCACTGCATGTAAGTCGCATGCTATAGGTTGGAGGGTGAGCACATATCTGTAGGTGGAAGTGTGGTTGTGGGCAGCGTTCTGCTCTTACAGGGGCTTTTATTTAAATCCACAGTGTCTCCTCCTTATTTAGAATTACTAATGCTGAGGGTTTATAAGAAGGGAGCTCACAGGCTGGCACTGTGGTGAGATGGGTTAGGCTGTCGTCTGCAGTGCCAGCATCACATATGAACACTGGTTTGAGACCTGGCTGCTCTACTTCCAATCCAGTTCCCTGCTAATGCACCTGCGAAAGCAGCAGAAGATAGGCCAAGTGCTTGGGCCCTTAAACCCACGTGGGAAACCAAGAAGAAGCTCTAGGCTCTCTTGGCTTCTGTGGCGGTTTGGGTGAGTGAACCAGCTGATGAAGGACCTCTCTCCCCTCTCCTCTAGCTCTGCCTTTCAAATAAATAAATCTTTAAGAAAAATGAGAGGTGTTCACTTTTTAATGCATGGGCCATGGAGCTAGGTGTGCTCATTGCTGATGTGGGTAAGAATATCCTGAGCCCCTCGCTTTGTCAAATGGGGGAAGGGGTAACAGTCTGGGTGTTTTGAGGATTAAATGAGATAAAGTGGGCAAAGTATTAACATAAGTTTATATTACTTAGTGTATTACTCCACCCCCCCATTCTTGCTAATATAATTTTAATGGTTGAGGAGATTTTTATCTGTAGCTGTCCATTCCCCACGGGCTGAGCCGCTAGGTTATGTGTAGGCTCGTTTTGAACCATGCTGGCGTGTCCCTTTAGAAACAAGCTTTGAGTTGTGGGCAGGAGCCTCAGCTGGCATTTGGAGTTCAAGGTCTGTTTGCTCTAGGCCAACAGAAGAGGGCAGGTGAGAAGAGGGGTTGTTTCGTGCCTGAGTGTGGACCTGGAGACGTTGCCTAGTTTGTCCAGAAGCAGCAGAGTGGCCTCCCATCTGCCGAGGGAGTCGGGGGCTCAGGGCCCAGGAGGAAGGGGGTTAGAAGAGCTTGGAGGGGGGAAAAGGGCAGGGCCTGGAAGCT